TTCAGGTGATGAGAAACTAATTGAAAATATGTATATCACTAAACTTTTAATGAAAACAAATATTTGAGAACCAGGAAAAAAAAGAACTAGAGAGTTCCGTTCAATAATATTTATAATCTGATAGAATTCTCAAAACACATAAATAGGAAAGTGTTAATGTCTTAGCTATGTTAGAACATTTGAGGAATATGCAGAAAGCCATGCGTTTACTTCTTTGCCCTGCATGAGCTGGGTGTGGTGGCACATACACTGGTAATCCCAGAACATGGAACACAGAATCAGAAAATCAGAAGGTCAGAGTCATTCTTGCCTAGCTTGCAAGTGTTTGAAGCCAGCTTGTGCTACATTTGTTTCAAAGCACAATGGCAAAAACATAGTATCGAAGTGTTTCTCTAGACACATAGACATGTTACACACACACACACACACATATATGTATATATATATATATATATATATATATATATATATATATATATATATATACAGCCTGAGGTAATAATAATAATACCTTCCTGGAAGATCAGTTGTAAGAGGCAGAGACACAGTGGCACAGCATATTTGACCATGCTGTGAACTTAAGATTGTGTTATTTACTGGAAAAATCTGTTTCTAGTTGTGTAGTGGCTCAACTCTAGCACACACCTTATCTGAGAGCTTTCTGTTTATTGTAAACAGGATTAAATAAAGTCAACAGTAAGTCAAGGGGCAGAATAAGCAACCAGTTGACAGGGAGTGAACATAAGGAAAAAAACCCATAGAGAAATAAATAAGAGGATGTCAGGAGGATGGATAAGAAAACACACAGGAAGTAGAAGAGAGGGAAATTCAATATAAAGGCTTTTTAACATGGTGTGGACAAGGAGAACTGTCTCTTGGGATGTTAGGTGTGAAGGAAGGTTAGCTGGATGATTTCTCTGAGTCTTAGCTAGCAGGCTTTCACCCCAGCAGCTGGCTCCTAAGTCTTTATTGATAATTTTTTTTTTTAAAAAATGAGATTTTGTTAGAAAACAACGACGCAGAGCAAGAATAAGACAAGGATATGGGCATAGAAATGAAGGCAGCCAGTAGTAAAAAGCATAAAAGCAGCAAGTTCTTTCTCGAACTTGAGTGCTTTCTTGTTTGCTTGTTTAATTGATGTGCCTCTTTGTTTTTAGAAGCTCTCTTAAGCAGTCAAAGTGAAAACATGCCTTGCTTTTGACCCTAGTCTCTCAAATAAGGACAAACATCACTCATAACTAACTTAAACCCAGGTACACATGGCCAGAGCTAATTGGAGTTAATAGACTGTTAGAAACAAGAGAACAATGACACAAAGTTGGGAATTGGGAGGGGTCTGCTTGGAAATTAGAGATTAGTTGTAAGCTTAAATGGGATGATAGATATGATGCTTTATTACATACATATGCAAAATTCTCAAGAATAAGGTAATAAGTATTCTTAAAAAATAAACAACAACAACAAAAAACTCTAGTAATGACTAAAACAAATACCATTTACCAAAGTATGTGAAAGACATCTGGAAAAATAGAAGGTAAAGAAGATAGTGGGAGAATTTTTTTTTTAAAAAATTGAATTAAGGTATCTATCAATTCAAGTGATACTAGTTTTTTAGGAAAGAAATGATAATTTAAAAATAGTAATAAGAAATTATGTGTTGAACCATTAATGTGTCTACAGAGTAATATTTGTGTCTATTGGGAAATGAATAGAGAAGAAACCTTAATCTATTATTGAATTATGATAATGTAATTTAATAGTAATAGAAATTAGGACATCTTTATCTTCCGGGGTTCATTTGAACAGGAATGTTACTCTGTGGTTCACCTACTGTTAAAAATCACAAAAGTATAAAGATAGGATGAAAGTCCCCAGGGAGGTTTAGAACAGAGTTCTCAAGGAGCATAAATAGTAGTAGTGTTTAATTCATAGAAAATTATATTATTTTCCAGGATATTATTTGCAAGTGTTTGGATGAATTTATATAAGAACAACCTGGAAGGAAGGTCTTTGGATGGATAGTGAGCTGTCCATCCAAAGGCAGCTACAACTCTTTATTGTGAAATCTACCCTCTCCCATGCATCCAGATATAAGCATATGCATTTTCAGGTATGCTACATAAAAATTATTGCAATAGTATCTTCATTTTTTGATATGCAACAAGTAGTTAGCCCAAGCCTGTCAAGGATTTTCTTTCCAAGGAATAAACAACATAGAAAACAGTGCTGTTCCACTGATATTGAAAAATTACACATAATAAAAAGGAAAATAAATAAGTTTTAGAGAGTGATACATGAACTACAAAGACAGCATGACCAATTAAAGATCAAGAGGGGCTGGAGAGAGGGCTCATTAGTCCAGTGCACAAACATGAGAACCCCAGTTCATTTCCAGCATACACATTAATGTCCAGGTATGGAGGTGTACCTATAACTTCAGCATTGGAGAAGAGGCAAGAAGATCCCTGAGTTTTCTAGGAGCCATCCTGAAAGACCATATCTAAAGAACAGAAAGTGTGGACTGACTGAAGAAAACTCCTGAAATCAATCTTTTAAATCAACATGCTCCCACCCTACACCTACATGCACTTGTATAGCTTGCAGTAAGCTGACAGTAGAAGGTAGCTTGTAAGTAAACATGTTGGAGTGATGTGCTCTTTCAAAACCATATGTATACAGAACTGTCCTTCTACAGTTCTAGGCAGGATTGGATAAAGATCCGTATGTTCCTTAGAGGAGTATGTTCCTAATATATAAGACAAACAAGCCATCATAGTGCAGAGAGTCTGTTGACTCTGCATTATTGAGAAATTCTGAAGAAAGGAAATTATGAGTATAAAAAAATAATTCAGGTACCAGAATGGGAGTTTGTAAGGAAACACACAAAAGCCAGGCATAAGTCTGGTTTGGCTGATGCAATGAGGACAGGGAAGCTCCATGGGGCTTGAAAAAACCTGGGTGTTCTGTAGGTCTCTCAAAGGAATGTAGATCCACTGACTGTCCACAGAGACTCACAAGAGCCACAATCTTCTCCTATTTGTACAGTTTCCACTTTGATCATGTAAGAACACAATTAGTGGGGTGTGAAAGAAATGTGTTCCCCAGTTTCCTTTGCCACAGAATGTAATGATGTGGGTAGATTATAAAGAGAGGGGTTAATTAATAGCTCAGGAAACCTCCCTTAAGGAGGAGAGTTTGCATATGTTTTATCGCATTTCTTCTTAATTTCTTTATCCTTCATGCTGGTTGCAAAAATGCCATGATGTCTTGTGACCATGAAGTTACTCCGGTCTTGAAACTCACCCATGTTGTTGTAAATAGAACACACTAGAATCCTGACAGTCTTGTGTGAAAAGTGTCATGACACCAGCTTCAGCCCTCTTGTCTTCACACTGTATCTGCAATAAAAATCACACTATTCATGATGTTTTGAGTATCTCTAACAGATATACTCAGACAGAATTCTAAGCACAGAAGTGAAGTGTTTCCACTTAGCAAGATGGAATGGTGTTACATATGTCTGAATTCTCAAAAGTTAAAAAAATATATTGACAATCACATGTGCTTTAGCATCTCCCACTAATGTACTTTACATGTTTTCTGTACATGACCATAGACATACTCTAATTCTAAAGCCATATGTATACAGGATTTTCTACAACAGGTCTAACCAGGATTAATGAACATTCTGTAGATTGCTTATGCAAACTTGTTTCTAATACTTAAGACAAATAGGCCGTCATCATGAGTGAGAGCACAGAATTGTTACCCATTCCCCAGAGTCAGATGTGAAAGGAACAGAGCAGGGTCAAGGAGAACTGAATCTGTCAAGTGAGTTCCAGGCCAGCCTTGACTTTACAGCAAGACACTGTCTTTTTAGAATTCTAAAAATATGTAGTAAATAAATAATGAGGACAAATTAACAGATCATTAATAGAATGTGTGGTTTGAATGCAAAGGGTTCTTTAGGAATGTAGCATGTGGAAGCTAGTCCTCAGCTGGTAGATCCAGTCAGAGAGATGGTGGAGTCCAGAAACCAATGGGTTATCCTTGATTTATTCATAATATGATGCCATATCTGGGTAGAGGAAATGGGGCCATTTCCTGGGAAGGTATGCAGTGTCCTCAGTCCCTTCCTATGCCTCCCTCTATTTCCTGGATGCTCAGAAAGAAGTGATCTCTGCCATAATCAACTATCACAATGATGCTTTCTTTTATTCAAGGCCCAAAGCATTGTGTCATGCTGAATCTGGACTAAAATCTCAGAAACCATAACTGAAAGTAAGTCCCTCCTTTTAAATATTGTCTATTAAGTATTTTATCACAGTAGTGGGAAGTATAGCTAACACAATTGCTGATATGAACATGCTCAAACTTATATATAAATAAAGAGCAACAAAGTTTACAATTTTCCTTGACAAGTGTTAAACAGAGTAAAGGTATCTTTAAGAACATAATTTATATTTTAAATGCTATTTTTAACATTTATTTTCTATGTGTATGTCTGTTCTCATGGAATACCACAACTACATAGAGTTCTGAGGACCACCTGAAGCACTCAGTTTAATCCCTCTTCTAGGTTGGTTCTAGATATTAACCTCAGCTTACTAGTTTCAACTGCAACTCACATGCTGAGTATGTCACTGGCTCCACATCGTTTAAATACCCATTAGAATACATTAAGTAATATTCTAACTCAGAGAAGAAAACTTAGGCTTTTCAAAAGCTGAGAAGTAAGCCCTCTAGTACTTATCTAAAAATAACAAAATGGTGAGATCACTTAAAACTAAAAATAATAGCTGTGGGCTCAATAGTCTCTCTCTCTCTCTCTCTCTCTCTCTCTCTCTCTGTGTGTGTGTGTGTGTGTGTGTGTATGTTTTTAATAATTAGAGGAGAGGTCACATATTAAGGATGGAGTGGAAGGGCACAGGAGGGGTGGGGAAATGAAGAATAGAAGTATGAAGGTGCAGTACTCACTTATGGAGTTCTCAAAATAGTCAATGTTTGCCTAACAGTGAAAATACCATGATCATGAAGGTGGTTCTCTCATGGCAAGGCTTAGCTCCAGTATTGCAGATTGCTCACCTCTGTGACTCCCCAAATTCTGGAAACCCAAATTGCATAATTTGTGGTATCAGGGAACTGTGTTCACATTCTCCCTTGTAAAATAAGAAAGGAAGGAAGGAAGGGACTGAAGTAGGGAAGGAGGAATGAAGAGAAGAAGGAAAGGAAAGAAGGAAGAAAGAAGGAAAAGAATCAAAACGTCTGAATAATTTTTTGCATAAACTTAATTTACCCAAAATTCATTTTGTATAAATGTTTGAGCAAATCAAAACTGCTGAACAGTTTCTTATCTCAAGGTTACTCAAACCAACACTTGTATGTGATGTATCTTGTGGGGATTTTGAGACCAATATGGCTGAGGTTCATAATATTTGGATGTTTTGTGTTTCTCTTGGCCGTATCTACAACTTGTGTCAGTGCCAGCACAAGAAGGGAAATAAATAATTCTTTCCTCATTTCAGATATTTAAAGCCATGAGTAACCTTTGCTTCCATCTTTCTGGACTGGATGTCTATCTTTCTCATGCAATTAGAATGCTGTGCTTGCGGCGTTCACAGCCGGCGTCTGTTTCAAGAGCATCATAGACCCGAAAAAGCAGGAAGTCCGTGCTCTGACAATGCCAAGAAGCTCACAATCCATTCTCTGGTCTAGACACTCTCTTCCTTTCAAGCTGCAGAGTAAACAAAGTCAAGACTCCAGCTGCACTGACGTGGCACACAGACAAGGGGTGTGGGGATGGTAAATGAACATAAGCATCTTCCTGTCATGGTCGCACAAACACCCACAGGCACAGTTCCCACACCTTGAATGAGTTTCATGTGCCTGGAAAGAGGCCTGAAAACCTTGAGTTTGTGTCACTGTGTAACATGGACACAGGACACACAGCTCTTCAAAATACGTTCTAAACATCATTGACTGTACAGCCAAAGATATGTAGCTTTAATGCAGCAGTATTTACATCGGGCTCTGCCTAGAATCAGCACAACTTGATGTTTTTCTGACAGTGCTCCGTTTGAGAGGAAAAAATTAAAATATAAACTGGAGAGAGTGAAATTCCCCTGAGCCTTTGTGAAGTATGTGAAAGATGGAAGCCCATGTGTCCCCAGATGAACACGTCATCCTTTCCATTAAATTATTAACATTAAAGATGTTTGCATATATCTCACAACATATTGATAAAAAAAGAGCTGGTGGTTTGTATAAGGTCATCAGCAACAGAAATAAATACCTGACCGTTTCTTATGCAGTTCCTTATTTTAAAATTCATATTTAATAAAGGGAGAATCAAAATAAAGCAAATACACTGATATATTGCAGATATAATTCTAATGCATCTATATTTTGATGTTTCACTTATATGTATGTTAACAGTAAAATAAATAAATTTTGCTGTGAGAAGGAATATATATATATATGATATATATATCACATATATATATTTATTATAGATATACATATATATTTTAAAAGGATGCAAAGTTGGAATGTGTAAGGTGGATCTTGAAGAGTAGGGTGGAGAACATGACTTGAATAAAATCCAAATATTTGGTACATATCTATGATGTACTCTGAATTGATATAAATAGTATAATAGAGCATTTTTAATTGACTATAATTACTGACTCGTCATTGACTTTCCAATCTCTGCCTCTCCAACTGAATTTCTTCACCTATTTCCTCTGATCATATTTTCCAAAAATCACACTATCATCCAAATTGCCTTTTGGGATTCTGCATTTATGACTCCTAAGCATGGATAGTTGTCAGTAAAGAATACACAATACATAACAAAGTAAAACACACAATCCATGATTTCCCAGTGAGTTTTGCTTCTACTTAACACATATTAAGGCCTTGAAGAGTTTAAGTGACATTTATGATTCCAATAGATGCTACAGTTTTTCTACAGAGGAAAATTAAATGTCCCACTTTTATACCCATTTTCTTTTTTTTTTAATTGGATGTTTTATTTACATTTCCTATGTTGTCCCCTTACCCCATCCCCCACCCACCCCGGAACCCCGAATCCCCTCACCCATCCTCCTTCTTCTCTGTGGATGTAACCTCTATCTATTCCCCCCCCACTCCCACCTCCCCACCCTCAAAATTCCCACCCCCTGGGGCATCCAGCCTTCATGAGGTCAAGCTTCTCTTCTTCCACCTATGCCCAGCAGGGCCCTCCACTCTTACATATTCAGCTGAAGCCCTGGATCCCCCCACTAAGTGCTCCCAGGCTGGTGGTTTAGACCCTGGGAGCTGTGGTTGGTTGGTATTGTTGTTCTCCTCATGGTGGCGAAAATCCTTTCAGCTCCTTCAGTCTTCACTCTAACTCCTCTATTGAGAAACCCATGATCAGTTCAATGGCTAGTTGTGAGCATCTGCCTCTGAATATGTCAGACTCTTGAAGACCTCTGAGGAGATATCCATATCAGGCTCTTATCAGCATTCACTTCCTGTCTTCCACATCAGCATCTACCTTTGGTGACTGCACATGGGATGGATACTCAGGTGGAAAGGTCTTCAGACGGCCCCTCCTTCAGTTTTTGTCCCTCGCTTTGTCTCCATATTTGTTCCCTTAAGTATTTTGTTGCTCCTTCTAAGAAGGACCGAATCTCCCCCACTTGGTCTTCCTTCTTTATGAGCTTCATGTGGCCTGTGAGTTGCATCTTGGGCATTTCAAGGTTCTAGGCTAATATCCAATAATCAGTGAGTGAATACCATGTGTCTTCTTTTGTGATTGGCTTACCTCACTCAGGATGATAATTTCTAGTTCCATCCATTTACCTAGGAACCTCTCGAATTCATTGTTTTTAATAGCTGAGTAATAGTCCATTGTGTAAATATACCACATTTTTTGAATCCATTCCTCAGTTGAAGGACATCTGGGTTCTTTCCACCTCCTGGCTATTATAAATAAGGCTGCTATGAACATAGTTGAGCATATGTCCTTGTTATATGTTCGAGCATCTTCTGGGTATATGCCTAGGAGTGGTATAGCTGGATCCTCGGGTAATGCTATGTCCAATTTTCTGAGGAACCGCCAGACTGATTTCCAAAGTGGTTGCACCATCTTGCAGTCCCACCAACAATGGAGGAGTGTTCCTCTTTCTCCACACCCTTGCCAGCATCTACTATCACATGAGTTTTTAATCTTAGCCATTCTGACTGGTGTGAGATGGAATCTCAGGGTTGTTTTGATTTGCATTTCCCTGACGACTAAGGATGCTGAGCATTTCTTTAGGTGCTTCTCGGCCATTTGAGTTTCTTCCGTTGAAAATTCTTTGTTAAGCTCTATACCCCATTTTTTAATAGGGTAATTTGGTTGTCTGGAGTCTAATTTCTTGAGTTCTTTGTATATATTGGATATTAGCCCTCTATCAGATGAAGGATTGGTAAAGATCTTTTCCCAATTTGTTGGTTGTCGTTTTGTCCTATTGACAGTGTCCTTTGCCTTACAGAAACTTTGCAATTTTATGAAGTCCCATTTGTCAATTCTCGATCTTAGAGCATATGCCATTGGAGTTCTGTTCAGGAACTTTTCTCCTGTGCCCAAGTATTCGAGGCTTTTCCCCACCTTCTCTTTTATTAGTTTCAGTGTATCTGGTTTTATGTGGAGGTCCTTTATCCACTTAGATTTGAGCTTTGTACAAGGGGATAAGAATGGATCAATTTTCATTCTTCTACATGTTGTCCTCCAGTTGAACCAGCACCATTGTTGAAAATGCTGTCCTTTTTCCACTGGAGAGTTTTAGCTCCTTTGTCAAAGATCAAGTGACCATAGGAGTGTGGGTTCATTTCTGGGTCTTCAATTCTATTCCATTGATCTTCCTGCCTGTCTCTGTACCAATACCAGGTAGTTTTTATCACTATTTCTCTGTAGTACAGCTTGAGGTCAGGGATGGTGATTCCTCCCGAAGTTCTTTTATTGTTGAGAATAGTTTTCGCTATCCTGGGTTTTTTGTTATTCCATATGAATTTGAGAATTTCCTTTTCTAACTCTGTGAAGAATTGAGTTGGGATTTTAATGGGGATTGCATTGAATCTGTAGATTGCTTTTAGCAAGATGGCCATTTTTATTGTATTAATCCTGCCAATCCATGAGCATGGGAGATCTTTCCATCTTCTGAGATCTTCTTCAATTTCTTTCTTCAGCGACTTGAAGTTCTTGTCATACAGATCTTTCACTTGCTTGGTTAGATTCAAACCAAGGTATTTTATATTATTTGCAACTATTGTGAAGGGTGTCATTTCCCTAATTTCTTTTTCAGTCTGTTTATCTTTCATGTAGAGGAAGGCTACTGATTTGTTTGAGTTGATTTTATAACCAGCCACTTTGCTGAAGTTGTTTATCAGGTTTAGGAGTTCTCTGGTGGAAGTTTGGGGGTCACTTAAGTATACTATCATATCATCTGCAAATAGCGATATTTTGACTTCTTCCTTTCCTATTTGTATCCCTTTGACTTCTTTTTGTTGTCTAATTGCTCTGGCTAAGACTTCCAGTACTATATTGAATAGGTAGGGGGAGAGTGGGCAACCTTGTCTAGTCCCTGATCTTAGTGGGATTGCTTCAAGTTTCTCTCCATTTAGCTTGATGTTGGCTACAGGTTTGCTGTAAATTGCTTTTACTATGTTTAGGTAGGGGCCTTGAATTCCTGATCTTTCCAAGACTTTTATCATGAAGGGATGTTGAATTTTGTCAAATGCTTTCTCAGCATGTAGTGAGATGATCATGTGGTTTTTTTCTTTGAGTTTGTTTATATAGTGGATTACATTGATGGATTTCCGAATATTGAATCATTCCTGCATTCCTGGGATAAAACCTACTTGGTCATGATGGATGATTGTTTTGATGTGGTCTTGGATTCGGTTTGCTAGAATTTTATTGAGTATTTTTGCATCGATGTTCATAAGGGAGATTGGTCTGAAGTTCTCTTTCTTTGTCGGGTCCTTGTGGGGTTTGGGTATGCGTGTAATTGTAGCTTCATAGAACGAATTGGGTAGTGTTCCTTCTGTCTCTATTTTGTGGAATAGTTTGAAGAGAATTGGTATTAGGTCTTCCTTGAAGGTCTGATAGAATTCAGCACTAAAACCATCTGGT